GGTTCCCCGGTGTAACGGCAGCTCACGGATGAGAAGCTGCAGGAGACTTGATGAATCTCTCTTTTCTCACAGACTCCAGCTCTGATAAACGGAGTAATTTTTTGGTGATTTTTGCAAAGATAGCGCGCCTTCCAAAACCCCGCCGGCAGGACTGGCGGTTCAGGAGGTTAAAAACTGTTTCAGACTTTGAACAGAATCGATCTGTCTTCTCCCCGCAGTACGTGAAGCTGATGAACTTTGAGGAGGAGGTCCGGGCTCACCGCGACCTGGACGGCTTCTTGGCGAGGGCCAGCATCCTGTTGGACGAGACGGCCGCCTCCCTGGACGACGTGCTGAAGAGGATGCTGCACCACGTGGGCCAGGACAGCCACGTGTCCGAGCCCGGCTGCAACTTCGAGGAGGTGATGAGCATGCTTTTCACAGATGCCGGAGCCCAGGAGGTCAACGGTAAGCCAGGGCGCGCCGTCAACATGCATGCCTACAGAAAACCGTCACGCACACGATCACAGGCGCACGATAGGGAGGAAGAACCGGCACTGAGCGAGGCTTTCCTACGATCAGACCGAGACCACACGAGGTCTGACACCTGACCTAAAAACATCCGACGTCTGCACATGTCAACACTGACCTGAAAAGCAGCCTCACCTCGGGCTGGGGAGCGGGATTGTCAGATAGACTTGAGGAATGGTTCAGGAAGCTTTTAAAACCCAAAGGAAAGTTTGTGATGTTTGAAGCGAGGCTGTCAATCTGCCCCACAGCTTCTTCTTTTCTCAGTGGATGCACACAGGAGTCGTACACAAACACAACGCCGACAAAAATCACTCCGAATGCGTGCTGCTTCTTTTCATCTTTTCATCAGGAGTTCGCTGTTTTTCTGATGGTTATAAAACGCTTTCGAGATGATTTGATTTCATTCTTCCAACCTGCAGCCACTTTAAGCAGCTTGCTACTTGTTAAAGAGCCCATATTGTGCACAACTTCAGGTTTATTATTTTATTGTTTACATGCTTTAATGCTCAAAAAAACCTTATTTGTTTTCATACCGTACGTTGCAACAACACTTTTTCTCACCTTCTGTCTTAAACGCTTCGTTTTAGCTCCTGTCTCTTTAAAGGTCCCCCTCTCTAAAAGCCCCATCTGCTCTGATTGGTCGGTTATTTACATATCGTAACCTCAAATCTATGAGTATATGGATGCAGCTCGAGCAAAAGTAGCTGTAGCGATTTAAAAAATGCGAGGAAGCTGTGCATTTTTTGTGCTTTAGGGCGGGTCAAACTAGCCGCTAAGCTGACGATATGCAAATGTGTTATATGATGATGTCGATAGGTAACAGAAGAAAAGCCTGGACGTCAAACGAGGTGATTCAGAAAGGCAAAAAAAAAGTCCTTTTGTAGGGAAGTTGTTGCACAAAAAGCAGCTATATAACATACTGAAGGAAAGGAGAAAACCCCAAAGGCAGAATAGTGGCTCTTTAAATTAGTTTTAATTTAATACATTTTGGAGAATAAAGAATTAGAGCTAATTTTTTCATTTGTTATGTCTGAAATATTATTATTATTATTAGACCGCACATAAGTATGTGGATGTGGCTCTAGCATGGAAATATTTGCAAGAAAGCTGTGCAGCTTTTCGCTTTAAGGCGGGACAAGGTAGCCGCTAAGCAGACGTTATGCAAATATGATGACATCGATTAGTAACAGAAGCAAAGCCTTAACGTCAAACGAGGCATTTCAGGCAGCGAAGGAGAAAAAATACCTCGTTTTATTGTGAACTTTGTTGGTTTGCAGAGCCTTCAGTTGCACAAAAAGAAGCTGAAAAAACTCAAGAAAGCAGAAAATTGACTCTTTAAATCATTTAAATGTTTTGATTTAGTATTTCAGGGAATAAAGAAAAGTGCATTTCCAGATTTACTGATTTCAGAACGATGCAAGACGCAATAACAGCAAGAAAATAACGCAAGGAAACTGTGCATCTTTTTTGCTTTAGAGCAGGTTAAATTAGATGCTAATATGCAAATATGTTACATGATGACATCGATAAGTAACAGACATGAAGCCTTAACTGCAAATGAGGCATTTTAAGCAGATTAGGAGCAGAGTTTTCTCCTTTTGTGTGGCATTTATGAGTTTCCAGATCTTTGTAGATGAACAAAACTTAGCTGTATAACACATGAAAGAAAGGAAACACCCCCAAAAAATTGAATATGGGCTCTTTAATTTTTTTATTTTTTTTATTTATTTTTTTAAATTTCAATTTCAGAATGCAAATTAAATTGATTTTAGAAGGCTGTAAAAATATTCGGCTGTACATACATACAGATTTTTGCATAGATCAAACGTAACAGCAAGATCTTTGGATGTAGCTCTAGCAAAAGTAGCTTTAGCGGGGAAATGGTGCAAGATAGCCGTTCATGTTTTTGTTTTAGGGCCGGTCAAACTAGTCACTAATGAGGCATTATGCGATTACTTTACCTTTTGGTTGCACGAAATAAAGGGAAAAAAACCCCAAACAGCTAAATATGGGCTCTTTAAATCAGTTTAACGTTGTGATTTAATATTTTAATGAAGAAAGGATGGTGCATTTTCAGAATTTAACATTAAATGACTTTCATTCCTGAGATATTATTAACATTACGCCGCGCTTACATGCATATTTTAGTCCAGAGAAAATGAAAAAGATTTAAAGTTTTGCTGTACTGCTCACACTCTACTAATGCATGCACTCATTTCTGAAATGTGCTACAGTTTCTGCAGGTTCGGAGCCCATTTGTCAGCCCACAGATCCCCGTCACATTAGCCGAGTCCCTTCAGCGCCGGTTTTCTTTCGGCAGCAAAGCCTCCCGGTTAAGGCGAAGCTCCTCAGCCCATTAGAGCAGGAGAAATCCGCCCTCTTACATAACCGCATGCAGCCATTGTTGAAGCTTTTTCTTTCTTTTTCTTTTTTTCGAGCTGCACCGAATACGAGTAATTGTTTGGCAAATGAAACTTTCCTGCTAGTTAGCGTGGCACACACCACCTGCAGAACGCTCGGCTGGGATTTAACGCCGAGCAGCCACAGGAATAAACGTAAGCAGAGGTTTTCTCTGTGAGACCGTGTGGAGGTAATGGCGGCGTGGCGGCTGCCCGTCACGCGCTCGCTGTCCGGTGTTTTCCCGTCTGCAGTTGTTGGTGGTTAGTCAGAGGTGGGCGGTTCGTGACGCTCAGCCCGCTCGGCCGCCGCTGACAGATCCACAAGGTGATAATTGACTTGTGTCATCGATCACTCACTTAGCTGCTCAAATGGCTCTCCGAGACTCTCAAGCTGCGGTGGCTGCCGCTACTCGACGGTTTCTACTCCCAGAATATCCCACAAAGAGGCTGAAGAAGAGGCTTTGTTGCTTTTTCTTCTTTCTTTTTTTTTTTTTTTT